GTTGGGAAGAAGAGAAAGACAGCAAGCAGCCCTCATGGGGGCTGGTATGTGAGGCATCATGCAGGGCATGAAAAATGTCAGTATGCATCCAATTTCAGCATTTCATTCATTTATTTAACTATGATTTAAATTAAGCTGTCGGTTTATTACTATTAATGTGACACCTACCGTGTGTCAAGAGTTACACAGTGGTTTCAACTCTTTGAGAAGCATTTGACTATCACCATGTTTAAAACTGCTTCGATCTATAAAAATGTGCTGAGTCCCTAACGTGCCCAGAATTGTGCAAGCATGTGTGGCTCAGAGCTAAGAAATGCAGCACAGACCTAAGGAGCTTGTGACCTAGCACAGACAGATACTCTGACAGGTGATTACAGCAACTGATGACAGCGACTTTGGCAGGTGCGCGTGTAGGGGGTGCAAAGCCAAGAAGTGCCCGCGTCTGTTAAGATATGCAGATGTTTTTCCAGAAGCCTTCCTCTGTCTTTGTGTTGCCTAAGGTGATAGGGAACACAGCACCCTACCCAATGGGCTCACAACAAGCATTAGATCAAAGATGACAATCTACAGCATTTCACTGGTGATTGGCATATAGTTGTCTCCTAAAACCCAGGTAAATATGCTTTTTAGTGCTTGCTTATTATTGTCTCCAAAGTCTTCAAATGATGGATTGGATAGACATGTATGTTTGTAAACAAATGAGACTGTGAAGGGATATTTGCTAGAATGTTCCTACTGCTTAAATTGAGGGAAAACTGGTATTATAGGAGGGTTGCTATTACTGCTCTTGTAACAAGATGTTTTTGTTACTTTTATAATGGGAAACTCTAATAAGGAACAGTTTTTGAAAAGGAAAAAAATGTCCAACTACCACATCTGGCTTTTCATCTGAGTTAAATGTTTACCTGTATATGAATTATACACCTTGACCTCATATTCACTTACTTGAATTATATTCATTTGCACTTAGTGTAGTTTGTAGTGTTAAGAATTCGCCTTATATTAAACTATGAGTCTCAATCCCAGCTCTGCTAGCTACCAGCCTCCAATCTTCCTGTCCATAAGCTCCAGAGTGCCCTCCACAGAAAGACAGAACCCTGCTAATCCCCAGGAAGGTATGAAGCCAGGAGAAAGATTAGGATGCAGCCTGACCCACCTGTGTTTAGGCTTAGAAAGGATCAGAAAATACATTATTTTTGTTTTCACAAGTCTAAAACTATGTCGTGGGAAAGGGATTTAATTAATGCCAGGTATGTCCAAAAAGATTAAATAAGAACTGACAGATAAAAGTGGCAGGGAAAGGGCTTTCCTTTGGATGAAAGGAAGAACTTTTCACTGCATGTTCAATAATGCAGTTCAGGCCTGTTGGGAGGCAATGACTCCTCCATTCCTGCAGGGAGCAAAGGCCTGGAAGAAAGGTGGTGGCACTTAGCTACAGGGTAAGAGGATCACACAAAGTGTCCTGATGGGCCCTGGAGTCCTCAGCCACAAAACGCCTCTCATAAGGGGTGTGATTAGTTGCCAAAACCTTGTGTGGTTACTCTAAACTATATCCCAGTGAAATTGCTGGTTCTTTTTATTTTTATTTACTTGTGGTAAGAACTTTTAGCATCAGATTTGGTCTCTCACCATTGTTAAATACACAGTGTACCACTGTTTTATATCATCATTACTTTGTAGAGCAGATTTCTAGAATTTATTCATCTTAACCAAAGCTCCCGGGCACGACTGAAGATGCATACCTATTTTCAAAATGAAATTTCATCTGCTATACTGTTGTGGTTGACTTGCTTTCTCTTGGCTTTGGAACATCATGAGTGGACTGTGATCCCAGCCAGGTAGCTGCTGGACAGGGCAGGCCAGCTGCAATTAATCTGTATCTGAGTGTGTATTGATAAAGGGGATGTTTCTCTTTAGACACTGAAGGTGGGATACATTATGACCTTTTTTTTTTCAAAATGTTATTATGAATCAAACTCAAAAGCAAAAACCACAAAATATTTGTATCTCCACCAGAAGACAGCCATGGTGGGCTGGAAGAAACTGGGAGCACAGAAATGAAGGCAGGTAGACAGCAAGGGGATTGCACCTCAGATTGGGCTTGCTGCAGAGACTGCTGCGGTGGATTCCGGCAGGGCAGCTGTGGGCCCAGCAGGCAGGTGGGCCCTTGTGCATGCCCCGAGTCTGTCACCCTATCATTTGGTTTTTACAAATGCTCAGCCATTGAAGTGCGCATGCCCTCTGACCCGGAAATCCTCCTCCTGGAGACTCAGTCATCTGAAGCACTTAATTACTGAGAGCAAAAAGCAAGTTACTGATTTTGCTAAATAATACAGCTGAGGAATGGTTGGGTCATATCAGTCATTCATTCACGTGGTTATGTCTGCTCCTTAAGACCACAGTCCCTGTCTATGATGGCCCTAGACAACTGCAAAAACTTCAACATCAATTTACTCTCTTGGCCTCAGATACTAAGTCTATCCCTCAACACACACACACACACACACACACACAAAGTGCTGGGTGAGACTTAAGGCCAAACTCCATCCCTGCATGCAGGCCCAGCAGGTCACTCCCATTCCAGAGGCTTCTGTTTTCCTCATCTGTAGAATGGGGAATGACACTTTTCTCAGCTCACTAGATTTTATAGTTATGTTTGCTATGCAACTTGGTGATGCCTTCATTACTGTTCCCTTGTGGACACTGGGAGTACATTTAATGCCTTTCCACTAAGTTACAATCCCAGAACTCTAAAGTATTGTTTTATTTTAAGCCATTTTCTCCCTACCTTAATCAATTGCCTGGGCTGAACTCAGACTTGCAATCCTCCTGCCTCAACCCTCCAGAGTGCTGGGACTGGGAGTGCAGGTGTGGTCCACCATGCCCATTATCTCTTCAATTCCTGAACAGAAAACTGACTAAAGAATCCTCAGGGAACTCCTCCACTCTAAGCTTCCCCTGTCATCCTTTCTTACCTTCTAGACCCTCTTGATGCAACCTGACTGAGTACCGCTGTCCTGTGGAGGGGAAGCTTCCATACCACAAGGCTAAAGCCCTTAGGGACATGAAAATGGTATTTGAATCCTGTTCCATCCACCTCTCTCTGCCAGACCTCAGACAAGCATTCTGACACTTTGATTCTGTTTCACAAAACTGAAACATGGGGGGCATAGATGTTGTTCCTGGTCCTGGCTTCTGTAACCACTGCGCCCTCTGCCAGGCCCAGCAGCAGTGGCCCTGTGGAACACAGGTAGGTGAGTGTGGGCATGGGTGGGGCTCTTAGAGTCCAGAAGCAGTGACAGGTCCTCAAGCTATGAAATGACCCAAGGCACTTGCCTGGTCCAAGCATTCAGGTTCAGAACAGCCAGTGAAACTGCCATGCACCCTGTCTGAGTGCCTCTCCTAAAGGGAGATTCACCTTCTCCTGAGTCCTTTTTGCTCCCATCTCTGGACAGCAATTTGAACTGAATTGGAATCTGGCATCCAGTGAAACTTCTCTGCGAGTCCTCCTAATTTCAACCTTCTGGGACTAAAAGGCAGGGCAGTTGTCTCTTCTTCAGGGGCGCCCTTGTGCCAGACCATTGAGGCCAGCTGTATTCTCCAGACCAGAAGGTCTGCCTGTGCGACTGTTTATTTTGCCACACAAGCAGTGCCTTCTGTGCCCTCCCACAAGTGCGTTTGCATTTATCCTCTACAGCGGAATCAGAACAGAGGTACTCTGAACAAACTCCAGAAAACCAGATGCAAAGACGACCCTCCAAACATTTCAAAGAGTCCACGGCTTCCCTGGTTCCCCCTTATCACATCCAATATCTTGTCTAAGAAAAGAAGCCCAACAGGGTCTGTGACTTGGAGTTGTTCACTCACAGAGTGAACACAAGCTCTAGGGAGTGGAAGGCTTCAGGCTGAGACAAAGGCAAACTAAAGTACACTGCTGCCTGCCTCATTTAAGGCACTCTGCCTGTTACCTGCTCCATCTCAGGCCCCTGTCATCCTCCTTTGGCAAGTGGGGAAATGGAGACTCCCTGGGTAGAGTCCTTTTGCTCCGAACAGCCAGACAAAGCCACAGAGCTGGGACTGGACACCAAGACTGACAGCCGACCTCCCACACTTCCCCCATACCTCACTGTTTGCCCAGCCTCCCCAAAAGGGAGCTCGCAGGGGAAAAGCTTCCTAGAACAACACAAGGACACTGAAGATGTAGGCCTCAGTGTTCTAGGGTTTTGCCAGGCATAGAGGGTCAGTGTGAGACAGACAGGTGGAGAGATGCAATAATCTGTGTCCACAAGAAGTTCCAGCCTTGGCTGGGTCTGTGGTTAGGGTCTGAGCAGGGGACCCTACATAGAGCCCCAGAAGAGGGACATCTGATAAGCTTGTCATTGCTGAGTTCAACTGGAAAGACATGCAAATGCCCTGTCCAGCAGCACATCAAATTCAAGTAATGCTCCATCAACTGGATAAGAAAGTCTGGTCTGCTCTGGAAAATCAGATGCAGAGAAAACAATAAAAGAACAAACACTTCAAGGACAACAGGAAGTGGGAGGGGGCCAAACTATTCAAATAAGAAAGAGACCTAAATTTAGATCATGAAGACAACTCCTGAGGCAGTGGGTGCAAAACCAGCTGCAGGCTATCCCCTCCCCCATCTGCTCCCTGCACCTCTCTCGCAGGCCGCTCCAGCTCCCTTAAGGGAAAGGTGAGAGACTCAAGCACATCTCAGCAGCTTCAAAATCAGGCACCCCAAGCAGGCTCCGGCACTTGTCACCACCTCAGGGCTCCACAATGAGACTCCAGCATCCCAGGTATGTTCCTAGGATTCGCTCCTTGACCCTGGGAAGTCCAGGCAAAGCCCTGAAGCAGTGGCCACACCTGGATCACCTCAAAAGGGAGTCAGCAGCAAATGAACGGCACATGGAAGGAGAATCACTCTGCACGCCTAACACAGCTGGCATATAGGGGAAGAGGGAGCAGGCCCCCCTAGGCCTGTGCAGTGTGCTTACCTGGCAGACAGCGCTCCGGGATGCCAGCTGAACTCTGGTTCTGGGCCCAGAGCCACTGCAAACAGGGTCCGCAGAAGATGCCAGTCCCAGGCAGTTCCCTCCTGAGGGCCACTTGTCAGCAGCCCACCCACGCTGCCCCCAAACTCTAGCACATTCAGTTTCTGAAGAAGACTTGGTAACATATAAGTCTTTCCCCAGGCCAAGGAAAGAGAGAGCGGGAGAGAGACTTTTAAAACAAGTAACTAAGTGTCTACAGTCAGAAGATAAGGCTGGAAACTCACAGAACTGGATAGAAAATGTGCGAGGAGCAGAAAAGCAGGGAACAGAGAAGATACTTGGAGAGAGGAGAGCAGCCTCAGCCAGCCTGGCTGCTGACAAGAACAAAGCTGCCTCGAGCCTCCCCAGGGGCAAAGCAGCTCAGCGCTGGGATTCCCCCGCTAAAAGCTCAGAGCGAGGGGCGCGGGGCGGGACTGGGGCGGGGAGGGGGCGGGGCGGGGCGAACTGGAGGGAGCGGGGCCTCGGTCCCGGGAACCGTGGAGGGGACGCGGGAAGGGAAGGGAGGAGGCGCCGGGGCGAGGAGCTCCAGACCAAAAAAGCAAGGGTCTGAGAGGCTGATGGGGGAGGTGGGCACCAGGTGGGGACCAGGACAGTGTTGAATTTCAAGCTGCAAAGAGGCTGCTGTCTGGAGCCCAGGAAAGCGAAGGGGATCCTGTCCAATTATAGACTTCCCCAGATATTTTGGTCCCCTTTACACCCCGTCTGAAATAGACCCTGGAGAAGGGAGGCAGCTGCTGCCGCCTAGTTTGGAAAGTTTGGAGCCCCAGAGAGGATGCAGACGGGGATATGCTCTGTTCCCTGTCTCACCTGTTGGAGTAGGTGACATCACCCAGGTAACCTGCAGCCAGCCTGCTGCGGCCAAGCTCTGGCTCCAGTCCTGCCCGGGAGATGTGAACTGTGTCCTTATTTTTGGATGAGATGAGGACAGTGCAGGCTCAGAGAGAGGTGTCATCGCCAGGGAAGCAGGGAGGCAGGGTGATCTAGTGGGGTCATTTGCCTCACTCCTGGCTCCAGAGGTGGAACAAGGGCAAGTGTTTGCCTCCCTGCCCTTTTACTTTTTTTTTTTTTTTTTTTCTTTCTTTCTGAAGAAGCCTCACCTCTAAAAATGGGCCAGGCAGAGTATTTTGAACTAGATGAGAACATAGCTTAATATGAACTCCAACCCCACCCCCGCCTTTCTATCTGTCCCCTGAAGGTGTCTTTATTTGTCTGTCTCCTGGGAAGCCACTGTTTAATAAACAGACAGAACCAGGCTACTCTGTGACCCAGAGACTCCCAGCAGTCAGGCCCTGCCCAACCCCCACCCCCATCCCCCCGCGCCCCATTCTGCTTCATCTGCCAACCAGCCCATGCAGTTTCTTCCCCACTGTCTGTAGATGCTGGGGTGGAGGGGTACAGAGTTGAGGGCCAGCCAGGCGCAGCATAGACACTCAGCAGCTCTATCCTGGGACCATTGAGATGAGGTGAGAGCTGGCAAATGCAGATGGAGAGGGATAGAAGGTAACTGTAAGGCACCTGGCTCAGTCCCTAACAAGAAGTTCCAGAGTACACAGCAGAAACCCAAGGGTCCCTCTCTGCAGGACAGGGGAACAGACCACAAACTGAAACTGGCTGCCACCTTCACTTCCTGAGCTATACTAAGTGCTAGGAAGGACCAGAGCAGAAGAATCAGCCCAAGGTTCACTGAGGAGTATCTGGAGACTGAGTGCTGAGGATGAGATCTTCTGAGGAGGGTGTGGGAGAAGCAACCACAAGAAGGGACTCTTAGCAAAAGGTGGCCAGGAGCTCACCAGGGGCTGGGCTCTGGGTGGAAGGAAGGGTTTGGGTGTGCCTTCCAGAACCCCCTGTGACCTGGGACTTGTAGGGGCTGAGGTGGGAACAGAGAACCTGCAAAGGAGCCTGGACAGGTTTCTGAAGACCCTGGAGTCACTGAAGTACTGCAGAGAGACAGGGACTGGGTATGGCCAGCGGGAGACTGGGGAATATGGTAAAGGGAGGGAGAGAGCTGATCTCAGATTGGTGACTATATAGTCTAGAACATCACACACAGAGAGAGAGAGACAGATATACAGACAGACAGATAGACAAACAGGGGGCACATCTTGGACCATTATCAGTCTATCCTTTCAGCCACAGATGAAAGGAGGTCTCTAAAGAGAATGGACCAGAAATTTGAAGGAAATTTGAAGTCCCTGCCTCAGACAACCACAGGTTAATGTTTCCAGCTTAATTCAGCATTTAGTGAGTACCTGATATCAGATCCTGAAGATGCAAAGCTAGAGAGAATCTAAATCAGATCTGAAAACATCCACTACCTGGAGAAAAAACATGGAGCCCACTGTTTTTGAACAATGGAATCTCCCAACTGACTGTTACAGACAGCCTCACACCTGAAGGAAACCCTTCCCAGGACTTTTCTGGGGCCTGTGGGTAAGTAGAGGCAGACACCAGGCTGGGACTCAGCATCTAAAGGCCCAGATGTGTTGGGTCAGAGCCCCTTTTGACCAGTGCTGCCCTTTTGAGACATGCTGTCTTCATTTTACTAAGGTCAGAAGACTTGAGAAGCTGCCAGCTGCCTTGGAATCCATTTTACCGTTGGGTGATACACATTCCCTGACAGTGAAAAGGAAACTGATGGCCTCCTCATGACCCCTAAGTGGGCCTAGGGCCAGAGTCTTGGGCCTTGGTTTCATTTTCTGTTGCCACTTTAAATTACTATAAATTCGCATGCTCAGAACAGCATTAATTCTTTATCTTACAGTCCTGGAAATTTTCAGTGAGTCCTACAGGGTTAACATCAAAGTGTTGGGATGGTTGGCTCCTCCTAGAGGCTCCAGAGGGAAATTCATTCTTTGCCTCTTCTGGCGTCTAGAATTTTCCTGCATTCCTTGCCTTACAGCCACTTCCTCATGCCATTCCAGCTTCTCCCAAAAGTTGCTGGAGCTTCCAGCACTGTAGGCAAATCTCCTTCCACCTCCCTGTTATGGAAGTCACTCTTGTGATGACATAGGGACCCTTCCCACCCAGGACTCCCAGGATCACCTTCCCACATGAGGGTCACTAACTTAACCACAGCTGCAAATCTCTTTTTACATGCAAGCAGCATATGCAAAGGTTCGAGTAATTTGGATATGGACATTTCTGGGAACCATCATTTCATCTTGTGCTGGCCCAGAGCATCATGGCCTGGTACCCAGCCCAGTTAATTTCCCTGGTCCCCTTCTCCTGGGATGACACAGGTCCCTGAGGGGCACTCAACAGGTTGCTCCCTGTGCTGGAATGCCACAGTGACAAAATGAACCAAGGATGCTCATGGGCTTGTGTGCCACTTACGGGGACAGTCATTCCACAAACCAACATGTCCTCCATCCAGGAGGTGACAAGGGAAAGTGAGAAGAGGGCTGAGGATGCCTGGAACTCGCACTGCCTGAGGTGAAGTGGTAGCAGGGTCCAGCCTCCCCAAAGAGGTTGGGGAGAAGTCCTAGCTGAAAGGAGGAAGGAGGCACCTCAGACAATCAGGACAAGAGCTCCCCTGTGAAGACAAGCTTGGCACAGTCCAGTCTCCAGAACAGCTTTTCCCTTTTAGTGATCTTTGGAATCAAACCAGGGTGGGATACCCCTAACCCCTCAGCCCAAACCCTGCACTGCCCCCTCTTTACCTAGTGTTTCCTCCTATCTCAACCCCAGGCCTATGGGACATCCTGTGGGCACAGGGCAGGGCATGTGGCTTCCCCTCCCCACCTCGCAATGTTCCATCTTCCTTCCTTCTTTCATAAAATTTTATTGTAAAAACCCAAAATATAAATAATTTAGAAGCAAAATTTAAAAACAGGCTTTGTGGAGAGGGGAATGAGTTCTGGGAAGAAGGGCAGGAAAGGGGAACTAAAAAGGACACAGATGTGCAAGTGTGTGTATTAATGCCAACAATGAACACATTTATTATGCATCATGTACCTGTACCAATCAAAAAGGGAAATTTTTATTTTTACTTATCTCATAAGCACTGAGTCAGTTGGTAGGGCAGAGTGCGACGTTTCCCGCCTGTGTGTCTTGTGCTGTCATGGCCAGGAAACCGGTGTGAACACCTTACCAGACTGGAGATCCCCAGGGAGCCTGTGTGGCAGGCAACCTCCCCTATCCCCTCAGCCTAGGGCTCTGGGACAAGCGAGACTGTTGTTCGCACCAGCACTGCCTCTGCCCTTGCTCCCCTGTGATATTCCAAGATCAAATGTCTTCATAAAAATGGACCCATGACCTTGAAAACAGTGCTCTGCAGCAGGGAAAAGGCCTCCAAAATACCCACCTCTTCCTGTCTCTGTCCTGAGAAGCCCTGAGTTTGAAGGAACTGGAGGGGTCTGGAAAGGCAATTCCAGAACACTCTTGTCTCACTCTTTTCCCCTTTTGGACCCTTTTTCTGCCAAGATGACAAAACATTCAAATATCTAAGATGAATTAAACAGAAATCAAAAACCCGTATATACCCATCATACAAATATGTGGATATGCATTTAACAGAGAGTAAGAAAACGTCCCCCAGGATTCTAGGTTTTATTTCATTTCTATCACTGTAGCAATAAACCCATAAGTAAATTTAGCAGAAGCCATTCACAGCAGGCTTCTCTCTGAGGGAACAGGAAGCCTTCTATATCTGTCCTGGTGGTCTTGCTCAGGGCCCCCAAGGTTACAGTTAGGTGTCAGTGGGCTATGTTCCCTTCTGAAGTCCCCGAGGAGGAACTGATGGCCAGACTTCTTCCGGCCGTTGGTGGCCCTGGTTTGGTCCCTTGCCATGGTAGAAGCCATGGTCCTGTGGTCTGCCACCTGCGGGCCAGGGGCTACTCTCAGCTTCCAGCAGCCGCCCCCACCCACAAGGGCTCCAGGCCACCCTTTGCTCTCCTTCTCCCACCTGGTCCGAGAAGGTGGCTATCCTTGTTCTCTTCTAGCTTCTGCCACTAGCCAGTTTCCAGCTTTTCCAGCCTCACGTTGGTATGTTAGGCCAAAATGACATCTTTCTAGGTTAAGGTCCCCTGTGCCAGGTGTCAGTGCAATCAAGAGAAGAATCTTCACCACTGTCCAACATCCCAGGGATAACAGCAGGACGTTTTTGGAGGGCCCACATCCTGTCTATTGGTCTTTAAAACTTCTCACTTAGCCAAGCACTATGGTGCCTCCCTGTAATCCCAGCTACTTGGGAGGCTGAAGCAGGAGGATCGCAGGTTCAAGGCCAGTGTAAGTAACTTAGCCAGACATTGTTTCAAAAAGAAAAAAAAAAAATGTTTGTAAAGTTTGGGATATAACTCAGTGACTATACAGGGTTTGCCTAGCGTGAGGGAGGTCCTGGACTCAGCCTCCAGCACTATACAATAAATAACCTGAGTAACTCTTCTTTTACTCTCATTTTAAAAAGTTATT